CCAAGATTTTTAATATTTAAACAAGCTTTTTATTTGACATGTGCATTTAAAACTTTCAGATTTAATCTCTAATTTTTAGGGTTACTCTAAATATGTTTCTGTTGTTGGCTTCTAGTTTCATTCCAAAATGAAAGCCTTGCCTTGCATGATTACCATTTCTTTGGCTATATTAAGGTCTTTATTGTTGTTATTCTATATGGGTGAATGTTTCTTGTGATTTTAAGAAAGTTCTGGGCCAAGGAGATGGTTCAGTAGAATAAGTGCCTTCCTGGCAAGCGCAAGGGCCTGAGTTCAATCCCCGGTTCTGCAAAAAGAAAAAAAAGAAAGTTCTGTTACTCTGCAGTTGTGTTACTGTTTTGTGGATGGTGATTGTCAGTGCTACATCTGTGAACTCTGCTCAGAGAAAGTGCATAAACATATTGAGGTGACCCAGCAGGATAACCTGCATGCCTGTTCTTCAGTTGCATTAGGAATGTGTTGCAGTCTGGCATCAGAATTGCTATATGTGATAACATGCACATGAATGGAGAGTAAGGATTTGATGATCAAAACAGGAAGTTAATATTTGAGTGCTTCAACCTTAATTCAGCTCTTCATGAGTGAAGTTGAGACATTCCTGCTGTGAGTCTTAACCTTTTTTCTGAAAATACTGTATATTTGTGATTTAGGAGGCAGTGACCTTTGAGGATGTGACAGTCACCTTCACCACAGAGGAGTGGGTTTTGCTGAATCCATCCCAAAAGAAGCTCTACAGAGATGTAATGTGGGAAACCTTTAGGAATATGGCTGCTCTAGGTATGGCTATTCTAATTTATATATTTGAGAGAATTGTTTTTTTCCCCACTGGTGCTGAATGTGAAAACCTTTTTGATGAATATCTGGACCTGGTCACTTTATACCATGATCTAACTGGAATCTATAATTTTTCTGTAATATATTGATTCATTTTATTTCTATATCTACAATTTAGGAGGAAACTGGGTGAGCCAGCATATTAACGAAGAGTACAAAACTTTTTGGAGAAATCTAAGGTAATTTGTACTTACAAGATAAAGTTGCTCATGAGTCACAGTGTAAGTAGAAATATTACAACCAAGCAAACTGTTCAAATGGCACCATGTTTAAATTTATTTAATTTCACAAACATTCTGCAAATATGTATAATTTGAGTACCTATAATCTAATGTTTGAATATCTGAAATTATTCAGTTTTGAAAACTCAGTTATATTGATTTATACAGCAAATGATACTATCAGCATGTAAAAATGTTCTATGACCAACATCATGAAATTGCATTTAGACATTAGGTATATGCATATCTGAAATGAATACATTTTGTGCTTTGACAGGTATCTTCAGAGTTTTTAATTATGTATACATGTGAATATGAGACATTTAGTATGTACAGAATTGCTAACTTTGTAGCAATATTGAAAACGCAAAGGAATGCTAGTGTTTGATAAAGGCTATTTTCAAGCTGTCCTATAGATTAAGTCTATTTATGTTTTAAAATTCTTAGAATGATTCTCCTACATTGTTGATTGTAATGTAAAGTACAATGACTCTGACAGTCAATATGTAGATGTCTCAAAAATAAAAATAGAAATTCCATTTGATATAGTTATCCATCTCTCCTGGGTATATTCTCAATAGAGTTAAAAATCATAGTAATTCATGCTAAAAGCAGCATGATTTTCGGTAGCTAAGTTTTGGAAATAATCTAGATGTCCATAAAGAGATGCATGTGTACAGAAAATCTGGGACAGATTCAGCATGGTGATGCATGCTTGTGAAGGCCTTATGCTAGGAAGCACAAGCAGGAGGGTGACAAGTGTCTCAGACCAAGCTACTTAATGATTGATGAGAAACTTTCACAAAATAAGAGATTTAAAAAAAAAAAAAAAAAAAAACTATAGGTGTGATTCAGTGCTGACCATGAATTTTATTCCCATCTCAGTAATGGGGGAGAAAAGCAGAAAGAAATCATGCAGTGTATATAATCATTAAAAAAGTATTGGAGCCGGGGAGATGGCTCAGTGCAATAAGCACCTGAGTTCAATCCCTGGTTCTGCCAAAAAAAAAAGTGTGAAATCATCCCATAAAGTTAAGCTATTGTCTTGCATAATCAATAATGAGGATGTGATTCTTTTTGTTGTGATTTTTTTTTAACAGAAGTCAACAGGTAGAAAAATACTGTGGATACCAAGATTGGACTCAACATGAAGAGAATTTTCTTGGGACTTCAGATCCTAATGTAAACATGAAAAAACCTGGTTTTAATCCAACTGAAAGCCTTGATTATAGAAGGCCCCTGGTTGATCATTCATCACTAACTGTCCCCATCATAACTCACACAGGACTGAAACCATATGAGTATGAGAGAGTCGAAGAGAAGCTTTGTAAATGTAATGAACTTGAGAAAACTTGCAGTGAATTCCACTTCTTTCAAAAGCATGAAAGTATACACACTGGAGAGAAACCATATGAACATAAGCAACGTGGGAAAATCTCTGATTCCAGAGAATGTACTGTGATTCCTCATGCTGGAGAGAAGCCCCTTGTGTATAAGAAGAGTATGAATGCCTCCAGAACACCCACTTATGTTCATATTCATGAAAGAAATCACAGTGGAGTGAATCCATATGTATGTAAACAATGTGGAAAAGCTTTTGTTTCTTTCCACTATATTCAAATACATGAAAAAACACACACAAGAGAGAAGGCCTATGTTTGTAAGGAATGTGGGAAAGCATTTTCTCATAGTAATTCCTTTTGCAAACATAAAAGAATTCACACTGGGGAGAAACCCTATGTATGTGAACAATGTGGGAAAGCATTTATCACACGTAGTTATTTTCAAAGACATGAAAGGGTACACACTGGGGAGAAACCCTACGTATGTAAGCAATGTGGGAAAGCCTTCAGTATGCATAGTAATTGTCAGATCCATGAAAGAATTCACAATGGGGAAAAGCCCTATGTATGTAAGCAATGTGGGAAAGCTTTCATTACATCCTGGCATTGTCAGCGACATGAAAGGATACACACTGGGGATAAGCCTTATGTATGTAAGCAATGTGGGAAAGCCTTCAGTATGCACAGTAACTGTCAAATACATGAAAGAATTCACACTGGGGAAAAACCTTATGTATGTAAGCAGTGTGGGAAGGCTTTCAGCAGACACTATGATTGTCATATACATGAAAGAAATCACACTGGGGAGAAACCCTATGAATGTAAGCAATGTGGAAAGGCTTTCAGTACACACAGTAATTGTCAAAAACATGAAAGAAGACATACTGGGGAGAAACCTTACATTTGTAAGCAATGTGGAAAAGCATTCAGTACACACAGTCATTGTCAAAAACATGAGCAAAATCAGACTCGTGAGAAAACCTATAAATGTAAGCAGTGTGAGAAAGCTTTCTGTTCTAAGTGTTTATTATGTGACCATAAAAAATCTCACACTGCAGAGAAACCCTACGTATGTAAGCAATGTGGGAAAGCCTTTGGCAGACACTATGATTGTCAGATACATGAAAGAAGTCATACTGGAGAGAAACCCTATGCATGTAAGCAATGTGGGAAAGCTTTCACTACACAAGGTCATTGTCAAAGGCATGAAAAAATTCACAGTGGGGAGAAACCTTATGTGTGTAAGCAATGTGGGAAAGCTTTCAGCAGGCAAGGTACTTGTCAAATACATGAAAGAATTCACACAGGGGAGAAACCTTATGTATGTAAGCAATGTGGAAAAGCTTTCAGCAGACATAATGATTGTCAAATACATAAGAGAATTCACACAGGGGAGAAACCTTACATATGTACTCTATGTGGGAAAGCATTTGCTGATAACAGTTCATTTTATAGACATAAAAGAACTCACACTGGAGAGAAACCCTATGCATGTAAGCAATGTGGGAAAGCATTCAGTACATGCAGTGATTGTCAAATTCATGAAAGAAGTCACAAAGGGGAAAAACCATATGTATGTAAGCAATGTGGGAAAGCATTCAGTACAAACAAGTATTGTCAAATACATGAAAGAAGTCACACTGGAGAAATTGTATGTAAGCAGGCCTATTTTGAAAATCCTATAAAATTTTCTCATGTAGTTGAGGGATATCTATAAAAATAAAATATTTGCTGTCAATTATATCAAGAAAGAAATTTTACTCATTTTTTCATACTAGAGCTATTGTGTACATAAAATTTTATGTGTTTTAACCTTCAAAATGTTACTTTTCATATTTTTCATAAGTTTCAATGTGGTAGTATTTTTTCCATTGGTTGTACAAAAAAAACAAAACAAAAAAAAACAAAAACAAAAAACAAAACCATACGGCTGTGAGTACCCATGGCCACAGACCAGTAGTACCATAATGTTTTTGAAATGGTATATAATGAATTATAGTAGTATATCAGTCCAAAATGTATAAATCCTGGTACGAATATTGTCATATTGTCAGGAACAATATTTTGCTGTCATATTGTCAGCCACAATATTTTCAAAGGAATTTTTACCAGCAGTGGAGATGTTTTGGGGAGAATGGTTGCTATTGCATGTAATGAGGCAGATGCCTTTATTCAGTTCCTTGACATGAATGCCATTCTATGGTGATCATGATTATTTTTGCCTAAAAATCTGAAATAATAGCAGAAAAAAAATAGAAATAAGACGTGAAATAATAGCTTAACTTATTAGAGGTATTCAGTTTAGTAAATGGGAAATTTAAAAATTTGATTCAGATTATGTTGATTTACTTAGTTTAGATACAGATTAATGTGGTGCTCTTCATTATCAAAGAAGACTGCTTTCTTATGATTAACATATGTGACATCCTTTCAGTTACATAGACTTCACCAAGTCATGAGCATGAGGCCAACTCTGGACTCCTTGTCTTGTGTTTTTCCTTCAGTACATTTAAACACTGACAAATTTTGTAAAATGTTTTGAGTAGTATTGCTTATGAGTCCAGAAACTGTTCAGTTTCTCATTGGATTATATTGTGATGAACCTTTGGAAATGTAAGTGGACAGTGCTTTAATTATCTCTAACATGGTAAACATTATACGTGCTTGTCCTGGCTTTATGCTCAGACATATAATTTAGTCGTGAAAACTGGGTAAGATTATCTGAATTGAAGTCATTTGAAACACCACATAAAATATCTGATGTAATTAATGGAATGTAGTGCAGTGCAGAGTACACTGTCAATTTTTACACACTAAAACATGGCTAACTTCATAGCAGCTTCTACTTTTAAACCATCATCAAGAGGATATATAGGGGGCTGGGGAGATGGCTTAGTGGAATAAGCGCTTCCCTGGCAAGCACAAGAGCCTGAGTTCAATCCCTGTTTCCACCAAAAAAAAAAAAAGGATATATAGTGCATATTGTTAATAGTTTTTCCAACAAGTGATAGAATATTTAAAATGGAAGATACTTTATTCTGAGCACATTCACATTCTCACCACTTTTATCATCAATAAAATCTTGCTAGTCCAGATGGTACATGCCTCTAATCCCACTCAGCAGGCATTGAGAGGAAAATAAAATTGAAGCCAGCCTAGAAAATTTGTTGAGACCCTGTCTGAAAGTAAACATGAAAGGTTTAATGGTGTAGCTTGGTGCTTTAGTACCCTGATTTTATTCCTCAGTACAAAAATTACTTTAATACAACTACATCTTTTTCAATTAACCTATAAAAGTCTAAAGCAGTTGTTCTGGTACATTTGCTTAGTCCCAGCTTCTGGAACAATCTGAGGCTGGATGATCAATTTGAAGCCAACCTGGGCTACTTAGCTAGATTTCTTAGCACTATGTAATAGGTCTCTTTAAATTAAGGAAAAGAGGAATTTAGGTTCACACCTAAACCTAAGATCAGATAGAGAAAATATCACTATCTCAAGTCAAGATGTTATTGCTCAGGAAATTTTATAATATTTATAGAGTAGTAAAATGTCTGCATCATAGGCTGAAAAAAAATTGAACATGAATAAGCTAGTCATTCCATGTTCTGAATAAAAAAAGCATGAAAATGCTATTTTTTCAATGTTGTTACTGATGTTAGGAAATGAGATGGAATATAAAAAACAATGAATAAATTGAATTATATCAAATTAAAATAATTCCATGAAATGAAGAAATAACCTACATAATGGGGAAATTGCTAGCTACTCACAGGACTAATATCTAGAATATAAAAGAACTCAAATAATAGACACCCAATATTAAATGACATAAATGAAAAAATGGGCTACAAAAACACACTTCAGAAGAAGTACATCTCTCCACTAAATAGGTAAAAAATTCAGCATTTTTGACCAGTTGAAAAAAAAATTGAAACAAAATCTTGTTCCAGAAACAACAGCTATCATCAAGAATTTGAAAAAAAAAAAATATTCAAGAAGTTGTGGGGGAAACAACCATTCTACAGTGTTGGTGAGAATATGAACTGAAATCTCTAGAAATTATGAAAATTGAGATTTGCCAAGATGGCTGTCCCCTTTGACTTTTCTGGTGTGTGCTACCACCTCTGACACTTGGCAATGCAGACCTTCACGATGAGCCTTACAGGCAAGACTTGCTCTTGAACAGGAGCCCAGTGATGTCACTGAGAATGTCAAGGCCAAGACCCAAGACAGAGGGCACCCCCCAACCAGCACAGGCTGATTTTTGCACCTGGTCCTGTACCTGAGGGTAGGCAGTTGTGCTTCCCTTTTAAGCATTGAACAAGTTTTTTTGCACCTTCAATAAAGTTATTGCATTCCCAAACAACAAAAGAAAGAAGAAAGAAAGAGAAAGAAAGAAAGAAAGAAAGAAAGAAAGAAAGAAAGAAAGAAAGAAAGAAGAAAGAAAGAAAGAAAGAAAATAATTAAACCCACGGAGAATAGTAATTCCATCCAGTATGATGATTTCTTTCTTTCCTGGGTATCAAAAGATATAAAGGACTGGAGAGATAGCTCAGTGGTCTAAGCACCTGCCTGGCAAGTGCAAGGACCTAGGTTCGATCCTAGGTACTGCACAATGTACTGGCCACTGACATCAAGCATGGTGGTGCACACCTGTAATCCTAGGGCTGGGGAGGCTGAGATAGGAGAACCATTATGAATCTAAGCTGTGTAGTGACACCCTGTACAAAATAAATAAATAAATAAA